GGATATTAAATGATTTATGTTTAATTTACATTTTGTATGACATTTTTTATTTGTGTGTAATTTACATTTCGTATGACGATGTGTATGTTTTTATAATTATTCAGCAACTTAATCCATCACTATATATAACAGCAGGGTAAAATGATCATTTTTCATCACTCAGCACATTCGGTCAGATGTACAATCAAACAATAAGATTTCTTACTCAGTCAGGATTTCTTACCTAGACAGACGTTTTAAGTTAGCGACTATCAAATAATTAGAATAGAATGAAATGAAACCCCCAGTCCTATTGGCCTTTTATGGAGAGGTGGTTCACTGGTTTGTACCTTCATGTACAGACGTGAAACCTTGATAACTACGGCCCAAATTTCATTTTTGCAAAATCAGATTTTTCTGTACATGGAAATCAAAACTACGTTTGAAGATTAGGGTATGAAATTTATGCATCGTCGGTCATCACCATCAAATCGGCCTCGTAGCTTCTTCACGGATCGTCTTGATTAAATTAACCTAAAGGTAATTTCCACTTCCTTCTAGGGTTTTAATCCAACTGTGGTTTTCCAACATAATTTGACCTCTCTGAGAAATTCGATTTCCCCCATTTTGCATTTAAGCCATCTTGTTACCGAGTGAAGCAGTGTAAACTTATTTCTCGTCTCCAATATCATTATTGCCCTAAAGTCGTATCTGCAACGGAATTAAGATCGTGCATATAATATCAAATTATGGTATGCTGTTAAAGTCTGTAAATTGTTGAATTTGGAGGAAAATTAGTTGTTGATTGTGTTCTAGGAAGACCACGAAAATGGAGTTAAGTAACTATTAGGTTATATATGTTGATGAATTAAAACATGGTTAAGAGACTAATGATTAGCCTGTTTGCAAGCACTTGTGATTCCTGGAATATCTTCTTTATGGAAGTTTATAATTAGTACACAGATACTGATCATTCCTTTTGGTCTCCTCTCAGTTTCATCTATTTTACTATTTATCACAATGGGAAGCAAAGGTAGACTTCCTCCTCCTCACCATTTAAGGCGTCCACTACCTGGCCCTGGAATCGGACATCATGATTCCATTCCTCCTGAAATCCATCCTCAACATGGTCGTTTTCCTCCATATGATATGTTACCACATCCAGAAATCATGGAACAAAAGCTTGCTGCACAGCACATGGAAATGCAGAAACTTGCAACAGAAAACCAGAGGTTAGCTGCTACTCATGGAACCTTGAGGCATGATGTTGCAGCCATACAACATGAGCTACAAATGTTACATAACCACATAGGAGGTGTAAAATCAGAAAGAGAACATCAAATAATGGGGATCTTAGACAAAATCGGGAAAATGGAAGCAGATCTCCAAGGTGCAGAGCCACTTAAACTAGAACTGCATCAGGCACGAACAGAAGCACAGAGCTTGGTTTCAGCTAGGGAAGAACTCGTTACAAGAGTACAGAAACTAACAGAAGATCATCAGAGAGTTCACATGGATTTGCAACAAGTTCCTGCTTTGATGTCAGAACTTGACATGCTTAGACAAGAGTATCAGCATTGTAGGGCAACTTATGAGTATGAGAAGAAAGTTTACAACGATCATTTAGAGTCTCTTCAGGTGATGGAAAAGAACTATATGACAATGGCAAGTGAGGTGGAAAAGCTTCGAGCTGAATTAAAGAAACATGCTGAAAACGACAGGAGGGCTGGTACGTCATTTTTGATATAATATCTCTGCTTTTAAATTTGTTGATTTTTTTTTTCTTCCAAATTACATTGCAGGTGGGCCCTATGCTGGTTACAATGAGAAAGAAGCTTCTGGACATAATCCTGTAGGACAGCACACTTTTGAATCAGCCTATGGTGTTGCGGGTGCTGGTTATGGACCTGGACCAGCGGTTCCAGGTTATGGTCTTCATAAAGGACCAGGTCCTGGTGCACCACCTTATGAACCACAAAGAGGACCGGGGTATGAGCCACAAAGATATGATCCACATAGAGTAGGACATGGTGGACCTGGTTATGATTTGTACAGAGGACCTGGGTATGATATGCAACGTGGGTCTGGTTATGATGCACGAAGAGGGTCCAATTCTGATGCACAAGATGCGGCTAATGTTTCGTATGGTTCAGTGACGGTGACTGGTCATGGTGGAAGTGGGTTTCAGGGAGTACAGCCGCCACCGCCGCCAGCGGTGGATGGTAACCACCCTGCCCGGAGATAGAGTAACTTGTGTTTGGAAAATGAACTAATCTTGATTTTGCTTTTTTATTTGATGTGATATTCTGGGTTGATTTGTAAGTTACAGTGATGAGGTTGCTTTCTTGGAAGTGATTTGGCAAATACATATAACTTTATTTTTTCGAGCAGTTATATGGGGGACGAAAATACTAATGGAAATAAATAAAGATATATAAATATGGTTTATAAGAATTATAATATATTTTTGACAAAACTGCAAAAATGGTCCCTATGGTTTGCATTTTTTCCAGTATTCAGTCCAAACCTTGTGAAATTTGTAAAATTAGTCTTTTTCAGCATATTTCTTTATGTATTTTGTCCCATCCGAAATTAAAATTACTAAATTGCCTCATTTAATTTAAAAAATAAAATTATTAAATTGCCTTAAATAATGTATGTCTTTCCTTCATTTTATTTCTTTACTAGTTTATATAACTCATAGTAACCTAAGTCATAAAATTAATTAAACTTTCATATTAAAAACTCAAAATTATTAATAAACTATTTTAAATAAATTATTAACTAAAAGATATTTTTTAGTTATATAAAATTATAACCGTTAATTTAAATAAATACGTGAAATTATACTAATTTATAATCTGTATTAACTTTATTTAAAATTTTATACTAATGTTATTAATTTAATGAAACTATAATGGGAAATTTGAAATTTGAAATTTGAAATGGAGAATCAATAAGTTGATAAGTGGCATGACATTAATTAAGAGGCCTAATATAATGACACATGATAAAAGAAGAATAAAAAACTATTCTTTTATTAGAATAGGTGTAACGCCCCGATTCTCAGGTATTGATTTTTATATAAGATTTTCTTGATTTCAAGGTCTACTCGACGAGTTAGTTGCCCTACTCGTCGAGTAGCAGCGGGTTGGTCTACGTGTTTTAGTGACCTACTCGCCGAGTCCGAGAAGGGACTCGACGAGTAGGAGCTGGCAGATGAAACCCTAAATTTCGGGGTTTTGCACCCTATTTAAAGGATCATTGGCCTCCCCAAGACTTCCCTTTACAGCCCCTTGACACTCTAAAACCCTAAATTGTGTGTGTGTGTGTGTGTGCTTCATTGGTGTGTTCAAGCTTGGAAGAAGGATCTTGGTGAGGAAAAACTTGGGGAAACAAGTGGATTGAAGCAAGGAACTCGTGGGAATCAAGATCTACTTTAGTTGGCATCTTTTGGGAAGGTATTAAGCTGTTATCTTAACCCCATTTCATTCTAGATCTCTTTTGGGTGGATTTTAGGACTTTTCTAGCATAATAAGAAGCCATTCTTGGGTATAAGCTAAGATCTGAAGTTGTAACTTCAGATCTGGACTCTCCTTGGTCTCTAAGTCCATAAAGTTTTCAGCTTTGGCAAGCATGAACCTCCCCTCAAGTGTGAGACTTCTTTACAAGCTTAGTTTTGTCATTTTAAGACTTTGGAGCTTTGCATGCACGTAAAGTTTGCAACTTTACGTGATAAACATGTCTTGGGAAGCTGGATCTACAACTTGGAGCCTTAGCATGGCTTAAAAAGCCTCTGTATGGATGAAGGACTGAAGGGACTCGACGAGTCACATGGTCGACTCGATGAGTCCGATGAAGATTGTCGTGGGCTCGGCGAGTCAGATGAGTGACTCGGCGAGTCAGATGAGTGACTCGGCGAGTCGGCTAGGGTTTTCCCAACCATTGGACACGTATGACCTCGGCGAGTTATAGGGGGAAACTCGACGAGTTGGCCAAAGAGTTTACGACCACTAACACTAGGAACTCGAATAGTCACTCAAGTGACTCGGCGAGTTGGCGAGTTATGCAAGGAACTCGGCAAGTGGCTGGTTGTACTCGACGAGTTAAGGTCAACATGGACAGTTGACTTTGACTTTGACCAAGGGTTGACTATTATACTTATGAGACATTTTGGGAAATTGGAAATTTACAAGTATGGTTCTATGGTGAATATAGGTGGTGGAGTTAGTGACGGCGATCCGAGAGTTTGAGCTTATCTTTCGAGTCGGCAGTTGCGAGGTGAGTTCTCCTCACTATATCAACAGGGTCTACGGCACCAAGGTCGGCCCTTTATGATTACATCCTGGTTTAGGATGGTTGCTATGTTAGATTTCATCATGATTTTAGGATGGTTGCTATGTTAGATTACATCCTGGTTTAGGATGGTTGCTATGCTAGTAATCTGTTAGATTGATATCCTGGTTGTAGGATGGTTGCTATGTTAGAGATCGGTTAGATCTGTATGAACATCTGTTATTGCATGCTAGCGTATGATATTTATGTGCACATGTTTATTGGTTTGGGGAAAGAGTTGAGGCAGCTACTGCTGTGTGCAGTAGGCCAAGACACCCTGGGTGGACCGGGTAGACTGCAGGCTCGGGCCGGACAAATCTAGTCAGGCCGAAGGCCAAGCGAGCGGTCCGAATAGGCTGAAGGCCCCGAGGAGGGCGGTCCAGACGTGCCGAGGGCTCGGAGAGCGGTCCAGATAGAC